TCCAACAAATTGTTATCCTTTCGAGAAATATTCAGTCACCAAGTACCCATGTTTTTGGACCCTTGCTCTTATAATGTCCCAGGGCTCAGTGTCGACCCTTTCTCTTTTCCAAAGGAGTATACTCCTTTGAAGATACCATCTGGCCTCATAAATTAATTACCATCTAGAAAATGATGAATTCCAACTTTTAAAATTGTATTTATTTATTCATGAGAGACAGAGAGAGAGAGAGAGAGAAGCAGAGACTTAGGCAGAGGGAGAAGCAGGCTCCATGCTGGGAGCCTAATGCGTGACTCGATCCCGGGACTCCAGGATCACATCCTGAGCTGAAGGCAGATGCTCAACCACTGAGCCACCCAGGCATCCGAATGACTTCCAACTTTATTTTTTTTTTGACTTCCAACTTTAAATATAAAGCCCAAACTTCTCCTTTGAACTCCAGACCTATATAACCAAACTTCTGTAAACATTTTCACTTGGATATATAAATGGATATTAAACTAAGCTGCCCCATATTGACCACCTCCTAATCATCACCCAAACCATCTTCTTCCACAGCCTTCTCCATATCAGTAAGTGGAAATCCCATCCTTTCAATTGCTCTGTTCCCAAATCTTTAGTAAGATTTTACAAATTAATTTTTTTTAAAAAAAATATCCTGTATCACCTATCCAACTCACAGGAAACTTTCTTGACCTATTTTGACACATATACAGACTCTGACCACATTTTGCCACTTTCACTGTTTCTACCCTGATCTGAGCCACCATTTCTTTTCTAGATTATCACAGTCTTCCTCAATGGTTACCTTGCATCTTCCCTTGCTTCCTTTTATCCATTTTCCATGCATCAGTCATAGTAAACCTGTTAAAATATATCAAATCATGTCATTTCAAAGGCATCCTATATAAGTCAAAATAAAAGTCAAAATCATTATAATATGACCTACAAAGTCCTACTGAATTAGACTCCATGTGACCTATTTGACTTCATTTCTTTTTTTTTTAATTGAAGTCTAGTTGACTTTATTTTATTACTAAAAGATAATAATGATCTAATATGGAGATTGGTTGGGATCTGGGCAAGCTGGAATTAGAAACACTGGATAAAATTTTATTGCTGCAATATAGTAAGAAATGAAAGTGGACTAAACTAAGGCTCAGGGGACAGCAATGGAAGACACAACTAGGCTGTGCTAACTCAATGCTAAATTACTGCCGCATTCAGCTCTGAGAACTTGAAAGGACAAGCAAGCTCACAAACTGTGGCCTGCAGTACCACCTGGCATCTGTATTGCATAGAATTTTGGAACAGCTGCTGCTAAGATGGACAAATTCAATTTGTGTAAACACTTTGTATAAAACACCATCAACCTCAAAGAACTGACTGTAGGCACATAGAAAAGTATGATGTTTTACACACAATATGGTTGTATTCAGTATGTTCCCTCAGTCATTCACAAATATTTATTGAGTAGGAACAAGTGCCAGATGCCCTTGAAGGAATGGTGGATACAGCAGTGAACAACAAAAATCCCTGCCCTCATGGAGATTATATTCCAGTGAGAAGAGATAAAAATAAACAGATGTCTATAGTCGTGTGTCAGATGATGACAACTCTTATGGAGGGAAACTATGCTGACAAAATTTTGAACAAGACTTGGAGATGAGGGATCGAGGCAGACAGCTATCTGGGTATTTGAGCAGAGAGAAAGTTCTCCTCCTACCATAATGTTTTCAGTCAAAATATGTAACTGGTTTTAGGGTATCTTTTGTTTTAATCATGAAAGATACATTTCTATTTGGCAAGCAGTGACCCGATTCTGCCTCAGGATCCCCCAGTTTCTCAGAGCAGCTTAGAGACAGATAAAGGTCAGGGGTGTAAACAAGGTCCTTCCTTAAAAGCTGCTGGGTCTTCTCCTGGACATGACACATGGAAGCATCTCTCTGGCACAGCTGGCATGTCCACAGCCCCGTGTGTAGCCACTATCAGCTATGCTATAAAAATACTTGCATTTTTTCCTTTATAAATATAATGCATACCGATAATTTTAGGGGAAACAATAAAAAGTATACAATTAAAACAAAAATCACTTGTTTTCTATCCAGAGATAAGCACTGTTTCTATCTGAGCCCTTAATATTCCAGATAACTCTTAATTGGAGAAGGGTGGGGCATACACCTTTAAATAAAGCAGATGCCTTCCTTTTTTTGGGTGACCAGGATTCCAGTGCATACATGTAACCCTTACTTGGCTCTTGGATGCCATACTCTTCCAGAACCTACATGCTGTTTTTTCAGGAATGATCCTCTATAGACCCAGCAGAGGTTGGAATGTTCTATTACCAAATACTCTCTGCCTGTGTATCTGTGCCCATGAAGATACTTTTTTTTTTCTTTCTAGAACACGTAGTAACATAATTTGATCGGGAAAGACCTTTACCTGAGCCAGTATAAATGGGAAATTTCTAATTTCTTTCTTTCTTCTTTCTTTCTTTCTTTCTTTCTTTCTTTCTTTCTTTCTTTCTTTCTTTCTTTCTTTCTTCTTTCTTTCTTCTTTCCTTCCTTCCTTCCCTTTCTTTCCTCTCTTAAAAGAGAGAGAGAGAGAAGGGAGAGGGGGAGGGCAGAGAGAGAAGGAAAGAGAGAATCTTAAGCAAGCCTGGAATCACCACGCCTGGAGCCCAAGGGGGGCTTGATCTTAAGACCCTGAGATCATGACCTGAGCCAAAATCAAGAGTCGGACACTTAACCATCTGAGCCACTCAGGCACCCGTATAATTTATTTCTTTGAATAAAGAAACCTGGGGATGCTAACATAAATTCAACACACAAGTAATAAGGCAACTATATGGACTGCACCATTGAGAAAACTGCTTAATGTCCGTGAGTTTCAGGTTCATTTGTCCTCAGGTTCAGTGCCCTGTTCATCAGGACATTGATAATATCCACCTTTTTATATGTCAGTTAGTAAGAAAGATGGTATAAGTGAAAGTGCCTTGTGACTGCAAAATGCCATGCAAATGCAAGATGTTATTAATTATTAACACAGTCCTTTAGTGTCTTAAACCTTCTGTTTTAAACTCAACTCTTAATGCTTGCATCTTCAAACTACAGGAACACAAATGGACCAAAAATTGTAGCATTAAACTGCAGTGCCCCCTAGCCCATGTAGGAGGTCAGGACAGCTGATGAGCTTCATGAATAAGCTCTACCACAGATGGTTCTTTTGCTGGAGGGAAGGGCCATTAATTGTACTTTTGGATGATTTCCATCTATCCAAAAGGAAAAACACTTATGTGTTTTATTCAGTATTTTCCTGTAACATTCTTTTTATTTCTAATTTTGAAAAAGGAGTAAAAAAGTATTCTTTACTATTTAAATTTTCTTTCTCCAAATTGCTTTCAATGAAGTATTAAAAAAGCCACACACACACACACAAAAAAAAAAAAAAAAAAAAACTAGATTTATCCAAAGACTCGTTGTAATGTTTCTGATTTAAATGATTACCCATTCACATTCACCAAATTCTTCATAATCCATTGTAAGAGAGGATATTGGTCATAGTGCTTTTTTTCAGAGAGGAAATAGGGAGGTTTAGCTTTTTTGCAAGATCGCACAGCAAGCTGCTATTATGAGCTTCAGCCCACTAGTTCCAATATGCATTAAATCTACCAATAGAGACAGGATTGTGCAAGGAAAGACCACTGATTATTTTAATATCACAATGTAGAAATATTTGCTACTATGGCTTATAAAAACCTGTACTGAAAATATATCAACTGTTTCCTTCCACAGGCTACAGTTCTTCTGTTATCCTCAGTTCTTAATTTTATAGATTTTTTTTGTGTGGAAATTTTTAAGTTTCAATAGTCCAGTGGTTAAGTTGGATCCCAAAGTGATGAGTCCTTAGGAAACTGAACTTGTTTTATGGGTTTATTTTCCATGCTGAGCATTTAAGTATTAATCAGCACTGCTTTCAGGGATTTCTTTCTAACATCCTTTTCTATGTAAGATAAGGACTGCAATTCATTAGACTATTGGAGGAGCCAGAGGCTTTGCTAAGCTTTGCCTTTCTTGACTGTTCATCTCAAATTTAATGCGAGTTTGTGTGTGCTTGTGCGTGGGTGTGTCTATATATTATACTGGTGACCCGACTTGAATTATGACACAATCGTGGTTGCCTTCCAGGCTAAATGGTCTCTCCTCTTTAGGGGTCAAAGACCATTTCAGCCTCAGTGTCCTTTCTACTACCCACTGTGAGAAGCAGCAAATGTGATCTTGTGAAACTGAGGGGGTGACTTTTGTTGTGTTTTTGATGGGCGACTTTTATCTCGTTCGTTTTCTTTACATGTCTCTACCAACGTAGCTCGGAAAATACTTAAGAAATAAAAATAACTCATCACCAACTACTAGGTTTCTTGTGATCTGCTCATTTCTAAGTGAAAACCTCTATTACCCTAGCAATGGTCCCTTGAATGTTTTTTCTTCTTCTTCTTCTGCTCTTAGGCATGTACATCACAAACAGCAAACCCTCAAGCCCACAGCAAAGAGAACGCAGACACAGGGCACCATTCCTTTCCCCACTGCCTTTTCAACTTGGGGTGTGGGGGGGGGGGTAGGCTACATTTTGGCGAGGATGATGACATTCACGGGAGGGGCGGGATAAAAGTGTGTCTAATTCCACGGTAATGGCAGAGCTCGCCTTAACCACTTCCCCTCCCGCCCCGTGGTGAATCTCCCCCGTGTGCTCCCCTGTGCATCCGGAGACCCTTCTCTCTTTAAGAGAGCCTCGGGCGCCCCGCACTCCGCCCCCTCCCAGGTCTCTGGGCTCGTCCAAGCCTCCCGAGAGCCATGGTTGGTCCAGGCAGGCAATCGGAGCACCTCCTGGAGCCGCTGCTACCCAGGGGTGGGGTGGGGTGGGGTGGGGTGGGGGGGTCTGTTTGTAGTACTCTCAGCCCTGATGTCACAGGCGCGGCAAGGACATCGCAAGGAGGAGTCGGATTACAGTAAGGATGGGCAGTGCAGCAGGCAGCCGGAGCGCACGCTGCAGCCGCCGGGGCTCGTAGCCCGGGAAAGGCAGCCTGCGAGGCGCTCCTCCCGGCGGACGCACGCCCGGCGCTCCCGCTCTCCGCGCCGGGGACGTTTCCCCCGAATGTAGCATGAAACGGCTCAGCTCTGCGTGCCAGCCTTGGGTGCGAGCTGGTGCTGAAGACGCCGCGGTGGGGTTCCAGCCGTCTGATTAATGAGAAACATAATGTATTTTGGTGAGTGTGAACTCCGATGATGTAATTCTGGGCTTGTCCAGCTCTCCCGTGCAGACCAGCCCTTTAAAAAAAAAAAATCTTTAAGCCGCGAGAATACATTCCATGAAACCTACCTTCAGTTAGCAAGTGGAGGACTAAGCTGGTGCAGCCTTCAAAGCTTCCTTTGTGCTACAGCTGGGGGCTGCTTATTAGTCGTGGATGAGTTTAACTTGGAAAAGAAAGGAACCGGGTGTGTGTGTGGGGGGGGGGGTGGATAAACTTTGCCTTGGTTTGTCTGCATGAAGTTGGCTTTTTTAGCTAGGTGAAGAAGGAGAAATGGTGCGGCGTGGGAAGTCAGGGGCTAACTCCGTGGAATGCAAAACTAAGTTCCTCTACTATTGATGCTGTGAAAGCTTAGTCGGTATCAATGTTTCATTAGGCATTTTGGTTTTTCCCTAATTCTGGGCCAAAAAGGGAGAACGTTCTTTGGTGTGCCGTGGTTGAGCAGCTGAGGACGCTCCTCCACACCATCCCATTTTCCTTCTACCTACAACAGCCTAGCACACATTGCATATTATTTTAAACCTTTAGAGGTCTCGAAGCTGTTAAATATTTGTGCAGTTTAGTTGTGTGCCACGGTGGAAGGCTCCCTTAAGATTCTCAGCTGAGCTGCCTGCATTTCCAGAAAACATGTTGAGGCTTAGATCAGGGCTACCACTGGAGCACTGTAAGCGGGCTGGGAGCTGTGTGTTCACACTGGAACGCTGCAAGTTACTGCTGGGAGAGAAGGCACAACCCCTTCACTAAATAAGAAGCAGCCAGAGATTGGGACCGAATCTCCTTCCCTCCTCCCTGAAGTTATGCTTTCCTTCTGTAAGTTCCACCCCGCCTCATCCTCCCAGGGCATCTATCTGATATTAAAAGGTCTGTGGGAACAGCTGGAGAGGGGCTAAGGAAGGATTCCAAGATGCAAATGCGCCTGGTGATTGCTTGGTTTGCTTTAAATCTGAGATCGAGAGGCATTTTTCAGATTAAAGAGGTGCTTAGCTAAACTTGTGTTGGGGGAGTAGTTTCTTGGGGATTTATCTGTGTGTGTACTATTTGCTTTGTTTTGTTTTCCTGAGACTTTGAAACATATGTGAAAGTATGGAGGGAGCACAAGTTGCACAAGCTGAACGCCTTTAGTTGTCTTGACAGGAGTTTTGATTTTCCTATAATTTGTGTTATATTAGAAGTCTTGAAAATAGCTAAAATTGATTTGGGAAGAAACAATCCTCATTCCATAGCCAAATTTAAGCTGAATCCAGAGTTAAACAGCACCTCTTTCCAGGGGTAGTGATGGAGGTGGGTAAGCTTGTTTGTTGCAATTGATGAAACACCAAGTGTTTATCGTGAAGATGTTCTTGATAAATGGAAAAATCTTGTAAAGGAATAGGTCTCTTGGGCAAAATAGAATTTCGGTGTCTGCAATGATATCGAGGGATAGTAAGTAGATTATAATTTTAGTTTAAGTTTTTAGCCTCTTGGCAACAATTCCTTATGTGATTGCGGTGAGGAAGGAGAGTTGGCCAGAGTAGTGGCATAGTCTAAAAGTACTGGTCAGTGGCCATCCATGCTGTACTGGATTATTGTATGGCTATTGGAGAAATGTTCACTGATCTAGCTCATGTTAACGGTAGGCTAGTCCAGCTGTCTTGTAAAGCAGGGTGATTCACAGGGCAATTAGTTTCACTGTGTAATGCAAGTTTTTAATAGTACAAATTGAAATGTGATGTCCTACTTCAGATGAAACTATACTCTTTTAAAGGCAAAGCTAAAGTTGCCCTCTGTGTCCTGAACATGGTTCGGTCTTACCGTAATTCCAGCATGAGATATGTTTTTCTATTCTTGGAGGAAATCGTGGGTATTCAGGAATGCCGTTTATTTCAGGTTATGCTATGCAGCCCCTCGCTCAAGCTGTTAGACATTCAGAACTCTGAGAGCCCACCTGTCTCTAATAAAATGCACAGTATAAGAGATAGGGTGAGAAGAATTGAGCAAAACAACCCAGGCATTTTCAAGATCCAATAGCATGCTAATGTGTGCAAATCCCTGAGACTACATATATGTGTGTGTGTGCCCGTGTGTATTTGTGTGTTTGCGTGTATTTATAGCTATCCAAAAATTTAGCTATTTCAGGTAGTTTTTCAAAACAATACTTTCACTTCGTAGTTTGGTTTCCCATTACTTTCTTCTTCATTTTTGAACTGAGAGTGAACATGGACAAAGAGAAAGTGGGGCTGCATTCCTGGGCTTTTCTGGTGATTTGTGGGAATGGAATAGAGGTGTCAGAAGACTTTTATTTGCATCTCCAGCAGGGAGTGATGAGGAGCATGGTGATGCTGTAAGAGCAGGTAAACTGATATGTAAGCAGGATATTTATTTCCCTTACAAATAATCTAATTTGTCAGTGTTGCTCAATAACCCCCCTTCAAATATAACCGAAGAATCATTGCCTGAGGAGGCTGGCTCAGCCTACCTACTTTCCTGTATATCTCTCTCGCCTTGGGGACTGGACAACTGGCTCCTCCGTCCTTGCTCAGCTGGGGTCAGTTTCACGTGTGCAAGTGGGTGGAATATGTAATATTTCCAGTTCTCCGGAACAGCTCATGTTTTGAGTGTGCTGTCTCAGACTTACAAGACTAATGGACCCTTTTAATGACTTAAGGCTCACTCTTATCTCCTATTGAAATTTTAGTGCAGCATTTTCAATAATTGTTCATTTGCACTTACTGTGCAGTGATTTAAGAGTTTGCTGTTCAGTCACCGTGGATACTTTTGTTACTTACGCTATCGATCTTGCATTCATTACTTGGAGTTAAAAATAAGGTTCACACAGGAGAAAGAAGCGAGGAAAATCCCAGTCAGCAACCTGATTGGGATTTACAGTAAAAGCCAGGAAAAAGAATAAATACTTATAAAATTCCCTCCCCACCCCCATAAATATTTTACATAGTTAAAAATTACATGTGGCAAGGATGAATAGCCATTAATAATTTATCCAGAAATAAAAGCAAGGCAGCTGGGAGGCTTCTCCTCAGATTAAGGAAGAGAGGCTGTGGGTGGTTGTCAGTACAACAGACCTGGGCTGCTGGGTTACAGTTTGGTTAAGAGGAGTGTGCTGGTATGAAGGGCATGTTCTTTGCTTGAGTGCATCCCGGCTATTTGTCAGAGCCTGGCAGAAGGTTGTAACCATGTACTCTCTCCAGCTCTAAGCACCGTGATGTCTGAATCATCTCCCTCTTTCCATCTGGCCCACCACATTTCTCCACTGCTGGAGTGGTGAGTCCTTGCCAGTGGTCATGTCAACCTCACAAATCGTCCATGGTTGGCCAGAGAGGTGCCATGTCTCAATCTTTTGCCATCAGGAGAGAAAATGGGAGGCTGATTGCCCTGAGGAAATTCTATGTGGCTGAAATGAAAGATGTTTTCAGGCCTGAGTCAACCAGATGGAGACTCTGGGGAGCTTACACCCAATGAGAGGCCAGGGCTTGCTCCGTGAGAATAATCTGGAAAAAGGAAATGATGCACCTTAAACAAATGAGCAGAACTGAGAGACAAGTATTAGAGCCTGCGCTAAACGCTACTATTAACAATGTATTAAATAAAGCTGGAGAGAGGGGCGAACACAACCCAGAAAGTGTGAGAGAGCCAGTCAAGTTGAGCTTAGTGTTCGTTGTGGATCAGCTGTCTTCCTTAAAATGCCCGAGAAGAATAGAAAAAAATACTTAGCGGTGTGCCCATCATAAGAAGAAATACTTAATTGAAGAAACTTGTAATACAACAGCTAGAAAAAAAAAAAATCTGGTAGGAAAATTCTAGCCCAGAAACCTATTCCCCTGCCTATAATAGACACGTTTGTACTTTGTCATAAGAAGGACTTTTGTTTTTCCCCTGGGAGGTTGAGAACGTTCTCACGTCAGCATTTACACTTTTGGTTGTGGCTGGACCATCCAGTTTCACCTCTAAAGCAGTCTGTTAGGAAGGCAGTTAAGCAGTAAGGTTATGGAGAAGGAAATGAGCAGAAAACAGCAGGCAGCAGAGAAAAACATTCCTCTTTTTGCGTGTGTTTTCAGTGGAAACATTTAACTCGTCCTAATTAGTTTGTACTGAGTGATCTGTTATGGGGAATTAGGTCCACTAGAGTCTCTCTAAATGCTCTGGAGGTATTTCTGTCTTCCTGAGGCTGACACTTGGGAAGGTACTTGTTAGCGCACATTCCTCTTTTTAAAGCTTGAACTCATTACCATTCTGTTTTATGACAAATGAATCTCAATGACATGCAATAAATTAACTACGTAACAGGGATGGAGAATGTGACAGGTGAATCCTGTCAGAAGGAATCACATGCAGGAACCCACAATCTAATAGAAGTTGGAAAACCGTAAGGATTCCTTTCTCAAAGCAGGTTCTCTTCTAAATTCATACGAAGCTCTTATTTTAAGGAAACAAATTCCATAATTGATCAATATGCCAGTAGCATGGGATCCTTGTTACACTCTTAAATTTTGAGCAAAAAAAAAATATTTTTAAAGGATCTTATTAGTTGCTGTAATTATATGGAAATGAGATGGGTTTATTTAAGGGATACGTTCCAAAATTCATGAGATAATGACGATTTGCAAAGTTACCATTTTGTGGGTGGCATAATTGTTCCAAAAAACAAATGAAAAATTTAAATTAGTGGTTTCTGACTTCCATTCCAGAAGATTAGGTCACAGCTGCTTTTGACCGAAACCTCCCCTGATAAGACAAGATGTGCTGGCTTGTGTATGTGTGTGTTTCATACTGGATCATCAAGTAGTGCCTCTTTATGTAAATATCAGACTTTCATTCCTCATCCACATCTTTTATGTATTCTTAAATCTTTTCACATCATTTACAAGGTAAAACGTTAAGTATTGGTGTAACAAGATGGATTTTAAATTATTATTATTTTTTTTAGCAACAGCTGGCTTCAAGTTTAACAACCATTATATGCA